TGCTCGTCCGCGACCGCTTATTCGGTAGGCCGAAGCCCACCTTATTCACGGTTAGCCGAGCGGAGTATGCTAATCGACTTTCTACATTCGACCGCCGATGCCTTGCTCGTGTCTGGTGGGAACATCGGGTGAGCATTGACGAAATTTGTTGTCGTGTGCTGGGTACCGATAGTCGTTCTATAGCGGAAGAAATCGTTCTACACCGCCTCCGACGACTCAGTCATGCTTTGCGTATGCCTGCCCATTGACTAATTCGCCATGCTCTCTTTGCACGTGTTGGGCAAGGTTGGGTTGAAGCTTGGAGGCGGTCAGACCATGACGTGGCGTAGAGGCATGAAGAATCTGGCTTCAGCATTGGCTTCGGTTGGTGCAGCTCGCCTTTCAGGTTGGGACCCAAGGGATGAGGATTGCCGACGGCTAGAGACGCTGGGAGATATGGCTCAGAATAGATGTTCGTGGCGTAATTGCTGTGCGGTCTGTTTGGCGAAACCCCGTTCCCCATAAAATAACAAAAATCTTCAAAAAGTGTACGGTGAAACAACAAAACAAATTCCTTCATTTGTACATTCGTTCTCCGTATTCTCTGTTTTCCCCATTTTCATCTAGTCTTTCTGTATCCCTCCATAACTTCATTATTATCGTTTTGCATTGGCACCATGCTTGTTCTCAAGCCGGTGTAACATACATACATAAATCTTGCTATGATATAGCGCGATGAAAGAAAAGCACAGCAGGTTACCCATTAGGTTTGTAAGGGCGTTGAACAAGCACAAAAAGTACACTCTCATATTCTCAAGGCTTTCACAGATAGGATGCGCTGTTGGTCAGACATATGCAACATTTATTCTCTCAAAGTAAAAGACAAGCGATTAGTCAAAAGTACTATTTTCAGGTGTACGGCACGACGTGATGAGTTGGACGCTTTTTGAGCGCAGCTACCGCAATCGATTGATAGATATGCTTATTGTGACATTTGTAATGCAGATGGGACAAACAGTTCCCAGAAATGACACCAAGTCTCAAAGGACCAATAGTTTCTGGAGCCAAGATATCCAAGAAAGAGCCACGTTTATCACCATCATCATTGTACAGCGTAACACAATGAAGCGAACTTCACTGATCGCTGCCAAACTCATAATGCATACAAGGTTAATGAGAATGTTTAAGGAGGAGAGGGATTGGACTTAATTTAAGGGACGGGAAAAGAAAGCAAACCTCTATGGTCAACACACAGAGTACATAGCCCAACTGTACGTACATACTATTTCAAGCATTCTGGTCTGATTAAAAGTGATAGCATGATCGCCACTACTGTCGGTTCTTTTTGTCTTTGATAGAATATGGGCGATCCAACATAAAAGCCGAAATGGACATGGTCATGCATATGGCAACAAATCCAGGTTTGCTTAACCGCTTTTTGATCAACGCCTCCACAAGAGCTGGATTTGAACCCGTCACTTGAAGAAATTGCCTATCTATAATTCAACGATAAAGCAGTGCGTTATCTAAGACTCTTGTACCCAGTTTCTAGTTTTAGATAAACTCGTTGAGAATACCAATTTGGGTAATAAAAAGAAAAAATGAATGTGAAGCATTAAATGCACCGAAAGTTATCTCGAGCAAAACGGCAGAAGTTACTGAATCGATTGAAGCTGTTCGCCCTGGACGATGCTCGTAATTCAGGTAGATTACCGAGTGTGCAGTCGACTTGAACATGTTTGGTGATTTACATCACAAAACCCAGAAAAAAGTTGTAGGTTATGAGAGAAGCTATGTACTGAATTCTATGGTCGGTAGCAGATTGCAGTTGAATGGGTGCACTATTTGGGATTGGCAATCGCGAACGGATTGAAAACATTTCCCTAAGAAAAAAGAAGGCAATTTTGAGACAAAAAGGGACTTGGAACTAGAAAAAAGGGTTGAATGCACTGTTCTAATGCTGAGCTGAAGGCATCACGAAACAGTTCGATTGCTTCGACACATAAAAACTACGTGCAGCTGTACATTTGAATTCCGTTTTAACTAAACCGTAGGTAATTAAGAATAATGGGAACAACTAACGGAATTTAAGNCACAGGTGTTAACATATTGCAGAATTCATCTTCTCTCTGTTTTAACAAATATCCCAATCCATTTTTAATATTACTTAAAAGCATATACTACTAAATAACATTTTAGGTCGGAGTTTCTGGAATTTATTCACGTTTTCGAATCCCCGAGGGGCAGGATATACGGACAGACTGACTATATGCTGTTTAATTGGATTTTATGTACAACTATTTCATCTCACCTTGTGAATGTTTATATATCTTCGCACAGAAAACGGAAAACACGATCCACATCGACTAGGAGTATCTGAGATCAGAACTAATTCAGAGATGACTCAGACTCCTAGGGTTGAACTCGAGTGAAACCACCGTCAGCTCGGACGCAGTTGAGAATATGTGTATATCTCTAATATGCGCTTCCGGGAGAGGTAGGGGTTGACTGAATGGAGAAGTGGGTTCGGATCAACGAGATCAATAATAAGGTGGGTCGACTAAAGGTAAAAATATAAACTAAACTTTGTCTGCGGTTGGAGACAAATCTGCGAGACCTGCTCATTGGCTCTCGATCTTGTATAAAAAAACGTTCCTGGCAGAAACGTTCATCAGTTAGTGAAGCAACGGAAGAAAGCGTGTCTTGGGTAGTCTCACAAATAATTTGGAAATTTACGAATGTACATAAAATTCCTACAGCTTTTTAAACCGGTTTCAACATCCTCACACGTGGCATCGAGATCACAAAGATATGATCAGGCAAGAATTGTGGGTGGTGCCCAATGCGTTAAACGAAACAGCTTACCGTGGTTTACCACAACTAGCCACGAATTCGGAAGACTGGATTGTGATGAGGAATTCCCGAAGGTCTACTAATGGGATTTGATCTGAATATGGTTTAAGGGTATCGGGATCCGGAAGACCGTAGGACAATAGAGTTTTGAGCGTCAGTGCGTGAATGCGATAGTATACCTGGGTTCAAATCAAGTGGATGAGGGGAAAACAGGTAAAATCGATCGATGCAGTGCTAGTTCATAGTACTTCACGAAAAGAACGAGTTGGGGAAATGGATTGACAGGATGAGACAGTTGTTAATGTAAACCAGACAGAGAGGAAAGAAGAACCCCACTGATTGCGGCTACTTCATCAGTTATCTTTGATCACAAGACACTCGTATACCGAGGGCCTGTTACAGCACTGACCGTGAGTCTCTATACCGACCTAGTTCTTTCGAACATACATTCATAGTGGTGAAAAGACATGAGACTAAATTGATTATATAGCAGTTGCTTGGCGTGCTACTGACGTTTGCGAGCAGTGTCTTTTGGTGCACGCACTCAAGGAGGTGACTGATGGATTTTCACGGCATCTGGTAGTGGATTAAAGGACTTATTATTGTAACTACGGAAGAAACAGAGAAAATCGAGGTGTATAACAATGGATCAAGAGTCTTTTATGAAACTACTGATAAACCATCGTAGGTTAGATACATTGTTCTATGTCATCTCTATTTACCCTTCATTTTTGGTGTTCTAATAAGTAACCTTCTTCAGTCCGGTAATGCTCTGCTGATTTAGAACAGCGGTAGCTCTGAAAAAAATAGCTGTTTTTCCGATGATAAATGAGGCCTTGAGGTTATTTGCAAAAACTAATGCAATCAGGATTTGTCTCTTGAAGCAACTGCTATGGAAATAATACTCATTGCCTCTCCGTCTGTGAAGATGTGACAGAAATATCTCTTTGTCTGAGGCCATAGCCGGACTGGAGAGCGAAGACAGCTGACATGGATAGTCAAGATGAAAACCCGTATGATGAAAGACTAACTCCCTCGATGGATAACATGTGTTAGATAGTCATTATGTGGAAACGAGCGAATAGTTAGTTGTCTGTCAGGATTAGCTACATATATTTTTATATATTCTTTTATATTTTCACACTTGTCTGAGGACAGACTGTGTGCTAAACAAATCATGGTACAATAATCATTATAAAAAGAAAAATGTTCCATGATTGGCTTGTGGGCTGAGTACTGCCAGGTTGCCCAGGCCAAGGCAGGTGAATTTTCTTGAGGAATCCACAACCGGAGCCTTCGGCTAGCCAAAGC